TTAATTTAAACAACCGTTTACTTTTGCTGCCGTATGTCACTACCACTACGACTGCCGTGGGTGCGACTCGGAGCACAGCCAAACGCAGCGCTGCCTTGCCCCCCACCCTGCCACTGCTGCTCTCTGTTGAGAACGAGATTGTGTGCGAAAGACACCATGTGAAGATGTTATTTCCTCACTTTACAATGGGAGGGGGGGGAGGAGAAACATCTCGAAAAGTGCATCTCCAGTTGTTAATTTATCGCACTTTGTGAGAAGGGAAAAAAAACGGATTCACATGCCTCTTTGTATGTACGCTGTTGCGCTATCCTTGCTATATATTGATTGAAAAAGACATCTGGTAACATTTTTTTTTTCAAATCATATACAAACAAAATAAAACATGTGTCAACAATTATTATTTTTTTCGAAGGCCCATTCAGTTTTCGTTGGTCCTAGGCACAGTGGATGCTGTGGCCTTTTGGGTAATGTGACCCCCTGCTCTGCGTGCTGTGCCGGATGAAGCAATTACGGGGCCTGTAGCTTTATGTTATAAAGGGGCCCTAAATATATATTTTTAAAAAAACGCATTAATATTAAAACACAATTTTTTTTTACTTGCGTAGTAAAGTCATTGTATTTTTTTTTATTTGCTATACAGCCAGATAATACGACAAATCGCTAACCTTAAACACCCAGTCGCTCATAAAAGTTGAAGGCGGTATAGTACTATGGTAATAGAGCAAGTGCCCTTGAGAGTGCGGAGCCCGTAGCTACTACATATGTAGTAGCTACGGGCTGCTACATATGTAGTAGCGACTTGTGCTACTAGGACAGTCCGGCCCTGCTCTGGGTGGCGGCGAAGGAGTTGAGGAGTCGAGCTGACTTGTGTTTAAGTCGCCACGACGCATCTCCGCGTTCCGCCTAATGCGTTGATTCGAATTGCGTTGTTGGAGCAGATGAGAGAGCCCCCGTTTAGATTCAACCCGCGTGACACTTAACCGACACGGGAGCTCGGTTTGAAATGTGAACGTCACTTTACGGAACCCCGGTTTATAGTGAAACACAACGCTGAGGTCGTCTTTACTTTATTTAACACGAATAAGAGCTCGCTGAGATTTACTGTCGCTTTCAGTTAAACATTGGGAGAGGTTGTTTAGAACGAATTGGCTCTTTATTGAGCCACGTGAGAGAGGTCACTGAGATTGCATCGTTAGAGTACTTTATTCAACCAGCTGAGAGCTCATTGCATATATGTTGAACTTCTTTCGCACCGTACGTAGCCAACCGCGGTTAATTCATCGGAGGTGCGGGGGAAAGACGACGAAACACAACAGGAAGCACAGTTCTACAGAAATGAGTTTGTCACTCTAGATGACCTCCCAGTGGCTTCCTTATATCGGAAGGGAGAGCGTTCCAGACGGCCACAGAAGCGCATCTGAAAGCGCCCCGCGATGCGGTGACCACAGCCCTCTTTTCGTCCGATGGCCCGCAGCCAAAATTCGCTGCTGCTGCTGCAGCTGCAGCGAGGGTGACTACCGGAGTTCGCGTGCTGGTGGTTGATGCTCCTCGGACGAGGCCAGCGAGGGTATTTGTGGTTCATTTGTGGCAACTGCGCTTTGTGCGTGCAACGAGTGCAACTTTACATGCACATTGCTCGTTGCTGTATGCATTGCCTAAGCGTGTTAGAGTTTATGTGCGTGCATTATATGTGGCTGTCCATTCACACACACACAGCCACCAACACCAGTGACGATTATATGAACCGGTTCCGGGCCTCCCCTAGGTCGGCTCAGCATCGAATGAGTAACTTTGTGCGTGGTGCCAGCCACCCCTGACCCTAACCCACGTGTGCCGTGCCTAGCCTGCATAGGTGCTGGCTGACGACACTTGCCCCGACAGTCTGTTGAAGGCTATGCGGGGGATCTTTGCATTTGGTGTGTTATTCCATGTCTGTGTGTACGTGTGTCTGTTGATAGCCTACGTGTGTCTGTGTGTACGTGTGTGTGTGTTTACCTGTGGCTTTGTTTGCGTGTGTGTGTGTGTGCACGTGTGTGTGTGTGTGCACGTGTGTGTGTGCGTGGTGACGTCACACATCTTATTTCTCGTCGTCTTCACTCGAACCCTCCGGGTCACGAGAAGACGAAAGCGGAGAGGTGGGCGAAGCGAGCGTGCGAGCGAGCAGGTCAGTCATCATCATCATCAGTCATCATCATCAGCAGCAGCAGCAGCACCAACATCACCATCACTAATACTATCACCGCCACTGACACTATCATCATCACTTAAGTTATCATTTGCGCGAACAAGAAGATCATCATCATCATCATTCAAACTACCATCACTTAGACTATCACGATCAGCACTTACACTATCGTCAGCACTGAAGCTATCGTCACTAATGCTTCCACTGTCAGCACCAAAAGTATCATCGTCACGAATACCACCACATCATCATTATATCATCAGCAGTAAGCACGGCAACTCTGGTGGTGATGATGATGATGATGATCATCATATAGCACCACTAACAACACCACGACCATCATCAACACTCACACCATCGCCATCACAATGAATACTATCACCACCACCATCGTCAAGAACATCACCACTTCCATCACGAGCATCATCATCAGAAGCATCACTAACACCATAATCACTCACACATTCACCACCACCATCATCAGCAGCAACATCATTAACACCATCACTAACACATTCACCACCACCATCCTCATCAGCAGCATCACTAACACCATCATCACTAACACATTCACCACCATCATCATCAGCAGCAGCAGCACCATTAACACCATCATCACTAATACATTCACCACCATCATTATCATCAGCATCATCATTAACACCATCATCACTAACACATTCACCACCACCATCATCATCAGCAGCATCACTAACACCATCATCACTAATACATTCACCACCATCATCACCAGCAGCATCATTAACACCATCATCACTAACACATTCACCACCACCATCATCATCAGCAGCATCATTAACACCATCATCACTAATACATTCACCACCATCATCATCAGCAGCATCATTAACACCATCATCACTAACAAATTCACCACCACCATCATCAGCAGCATCATTAACACCATCATCACTAACAAATTCACCACCACCATCAGCAACAGCATCAGCAGCATCACTAACACCATCATCACTAACACATTCACCACCACCATCAGAAACAGCATCACTAACACCATCATCACTAACACATTCACCACCATCATCATCATCAGCAGCATCACTAACGCCATCATCATTAATACATTCATCACCACCATCAGCAACAGCATCACTAACACCATCATCACTAACACATTCACCATGATCATCAGCAGCAGCATCACTAGCACCATCATCACTACCACATTCACCACTACCATCATCATCAGCAGCAGCATCACTAACACCATCATCACTAACACATTCACCATCATCATCAGCAGCATCACTAACACATTCACCACTACTATCATCATCAGCAGCATCACTAACACCATCATCACTAACACATTCACCATCATCATCAGCAGCATCACTAACACATTCACCACTACTATCATCATCAGCGGCATCACTAACACCATCATCACTAACACATTCACCACCACCAGCATCACTAACACCATCATCATTAATACTTTCACCACCACCATCATCATCAGCGGCATCACTGTCACCATCAATATCACAGCCATCATCAAAAACACTACCGCCATCACCAAACACCACCATCATCACCACGTTATGATTATCGTTATAATCATCATCAGGTGCGTTTCGCGCGTATAGACGCGTGTGTGTGTGCACATTTGTGTCCACGTGTGGGTAGCGGTAGTGTAGCGGTTAGCGCTACGCTGCGCTACGATCCTGGCGACCCAAGTTCAATTCACGCTCACGGCCAGCACCGAGTGACGTATGTCTGAAGCGGTCATGTGCCTCTTCTAGGTCGACTCAGTCTCAAATGAGTACCTCGTGCGGTGCATAAAAAAACATCACCGTGGGGTGAGACAAAGGCGGTCGGGGCGTGGTGCTGGCCACCCACCCCCCTCGTGCGCCGTGCCGGCCTTCATACGTGCTCGCTAACAGCACTTGCCCCAACGATCTGTCAAGGCTACCCGGGGGATCTTTGTCTTCGTTTTGCTCTCCACGTGCATCGCCTGCACGCGCGCGTTTGTGCCGCTGCCAAGCACAGGAGCCCAAGCGTTCAGGACGCCAGGCGGCCAGCAACAAGCACCGGCCACCACTTGTCCACAGCTGCGATCGATCAAGGGGCGAATGACCGTTTAGCAAAAGTGGCGCACTTCATTCCCAGATCCCAACAATGCGCCTGTGCCGTGCGCGTGGTTGTTTGGTTGTCGTCATTGTTGTCGTGAGTGGGCAGGAGCGGCGGCGCAGCGGTTAGCGCGCTGCGCTACGAACCGGTTCAAATAATCCGTCACTGGTGTCGTTGGCTGTGAGCGGGAATCGACAGCCACGTGCACGCGCACGCACGCAACACTGAGATGCTGCGATAACAATGAGCTTGGTGCATATAAAGTGGCGCTCGTTACACACAAAGTGCTTGTCACAAATGAACCACGATGCCTCGCCGCTGATCTCGTTAAGAAGCACAAACCACCAGCACGCGAACCTCGGTGGTCATCCTCGCGGCAGTAGCAGCGGCAGTAGCGGCAGTAGCGGCGGCGGCTTTTGGCTGCTAGACATCGAAACAGAGACGGTCGTGGTCACCGCATCGCACGGCGCTTTCAGACGGCGCTTCTGCGGCCGTCTGGAACGCTCTTCCTTCCGATTTTAGGGCGCCACTGGAACTCTGCACTTTGAAATCATCATCTAGATTGACGAAATAATTTCTTAAGATCTGCTTGTTATCTTTAGTTTATTGTCCTTCCTCCGATTAGTGCGGTTGGCTACGTACGGCGCGAAAGAAGTTCAACGTGCACACGGGGCCTCCAGCACCCCCACGTGACCTCATCATGTGTCGTCGCGAGTCGAGCCTCCGCTGGGCCGCCTCCTGCCTGCCCCTCCTCCTCCTCCTCCTACCGGCTCTGGGTTCGACCCCGGGTGCCGCTGACAACGCGGCCCCAGGCCGAGGCAGGGATCTGAGCGAATTCCGAGGACCCCGTGTCGGCCCGGGACCCCCGAGACCGCCCATCTCTGCCCGCGCGGCTCAGGTGAGGAGCAAGGGTCAAGGTTCAACCCCCCACCCCCTACTTTAGCCGGTCCTTGATACGTAACATTTAGACACCACGCGAAATAAAATCTCCCGATTCATAATAAAGGTGTTTGGGTTGGATCGCGTTAGTTATAAATGTGTCGTAACCTTCCACCACCCGACAAGGCCAATCAGTCAAAAAAGTGTCACGTTGACAAGAGACAAATAGTTCACTACTATAGCCCACCGGTGTGTTGAAGAGTGAATCCACAAACATTTTTAATTTTTGAGTACGGCGTTTCGCTGGTAATTACATCCAGCATCGTCAACGTGACACATTTTTTTACTGATTGTCCGTGTCGGGTGGTGGAGGGTTACGACACATAAATAACGCGATCTCACCCAAAAACCTTTATTATGAATAATATTGGTCGCGAAAGCCGAACGTGTTAACAAAAAAACCTCCCGACTCATTTTGTCCGAATCCTGCTCATAGGGATTCATAGTCCGCGAGCCCGGCAAAGATATTTCACTCGCCGATTACCACCTGGGGATGCCTCTCACTTTTTAGCGGTTCCAATTCGGCCAATAACTGAGAGTCGTGCAGTTAACGCCGTCTGCGTTAATAGAGGCCGATTGAAATTGACATTGAGATCTCAGTGCGCGAGTGCGCGCGCCTACACGCGGCGCGTGTGTGCGCGTGTACACGTGCTGCTTGCGTGCGTGCACGCGTGTTGCGCGCGTCACGTGGGCCGTGTTTAACGATCATCGGGCGCGTGCAGCTGCGAGACGAGTTGAATTTGAATGGGGGGTGGGGGGAGGGGAGCGAATTGTGGTGAACGCGGAAAGACGGGAGTGTGGTGAGGACTGCAGTTTGACGGGACCCTGTCGTAAGAGAAGTCAGTGGGAGTGGGCAGAATTATATAGGATTGTTATTATGGACAAGCATACATTGTACTCTCGTAGTAGTGCCTTACGCCAATGATACGTACGCCTAGGCCGGATTGTAAACAGCGGTCCGGAAAATATCGAGCGGGAAATGAAGCCCTGTATACAGTATATACAGTATAAACTTCAAACTATTAAACTATTTTTATTTTACCAGGAAAGGCCCACTGAAGCGACCTGGCCATCACAAATGATAGCTCAACAAAGTGGCTGATCACGTGGAAATGTATAGCAGCCAAATACTCTAAACGCGTAATGTTGAGTCTAACTGTCGAGGGGGAAAAACCGGAGGACCCGGAGACAAATCCACACGACCACGTGGAGAGAGACGCGCAGCCTCCAAATATACAGCAGCAGCAGGCGTCAGTGTGGGGATCGAACCCCACGACCTCCTGCATACCAGGCGAGGTAGTTAACATCTCCTAGCCACCGTGATGATGATGAGAGAGAGAGAGACACGCAAACTCCAAATATACAGCAGGCGTCAGGGTCGGGATCGAACCCATGACCTCCTGTATACCAGGCGAGGTAGTTCACATCTCCTAGCCACCGTGGCACCCAAGTGTAAATGACCGCACACAATAAAGGGCATTGCATCACATTTGGTTCCGCACTTAATTTGACCAAATTCCGCCTCTCGCAATGAAACCCTATATTTATTTATTTATTAAACCCATACCGTGTCGACTGCCTTCACGACCGACAGTGATGCCGTGACGTGGGCACCTTGAGATGCGATCTACAAAGCCAAAACAATCGCGGTCTGAAATCCTTAACTTGTCGCGGGCAGATCTTCCTGGCGAGGTACGGCTGGCTGGACCCCGTGCCGTGGAGAGGGAACTTGGGAAGAGGAGGAGGAGGAAGCGCAGACGCCGACGCCGACGCCGCCGTCGCCGGCCCCTGGGATGACCTCGACTTTGCCAACCCCGTCCCGGACGAACTCCCCGTGGAGCCCGACTCGGAGCCAGCCCACGAGACGTCGGGCCCGCGTCGACGGCTCGAGGACTCCGCCGAGCTGCCCGGTTGGGGAGCCGAGGCGGGTGCAGGGCCCGGCGAGGAGGCGTCACGGCGGGGCGAGCGAGCGGCGGGGGAGCGAGGCGGGGTGGCGTTCGTCGGCGGCCCCGCCGTGGCCGACGCCCTGCGCAGGTTCCAGGCGGCGCACGGCCTCGAGGCCACGGGCCTCCTGGATCCCGGGACCAGGGAGGCCATGAGCCAGCCACGGTGCGGTGTCCCCGACAGGCAGACGGGAGAGGCGGCAGGTGATGGAGGGGGTGGTGGTGATGGAAGTGATGGTGGTAGTAGTAGCAGTGGTGATGGTGGTTATGATTCCGGTGGTGGTGGTGGTGGTGGTAAGGTTCGTACGCTGCGCTGTGAACCCGGCCGAACGAGTTCGATTCCCGCTCACGGCCAACACCGCCAGTGACAATTACCTGAACCGGTACTGCACCTCCTGTAGGTCGACTCGGCCTCAAATGAGTACCTGGTGTGTCATGTAAACATCGCCGCTGGGGAGACAAAGGTTGGTCGGGGCGTGGTGCTGGCCACCCACCCCCTCGTGCACCGTGCCGGCCTTCATAGGCGCTCGCTAACAGCACTTGCCCCAACAGTCTGTTAAGGCTAGACGGCGAATCTTTGTCTTTGATGGTAGTAGTAGTGGTGATGGTGGTGGTGGTGGTACAGATGGTGACATTTGGAGATGGCGGTGATGTTGCATTATACGACTTATGATGTTGGAGTGTGGCATGATGATGATGTTTCGGCTCATTGAAAGGTGCGGTGCTGTGGTTCTTTGATGAACGGTTCCCATTGTAAATGCAACGTGTCACCACTGGAGTTGGTGAGGTGGTGTAGCGGTCAGCGCTACGCTGCGCTACGAACCCGGCGACCCGAGTTCGATTCCCGCTCATGGCACAACACCGGTGACGATTATCTGAACCGGTCCTGGGCCTCGTGCGATGCGTAAAAACATCGCCACTGGGGAGACAAAGGCGGCCGGGCGTGGTGCTGCCCGCCCACCCCCTCGTGTGCCGTTCCGGCCTTCATAGGTGCTACTCGCTAACAGCACTTGCCCCCTACAGGCTAAACGGGAGGGGGGGTTCTTTGTCTTTGTTTCCAATGCCACTTGCGATGTTGCTTCTCGTTGCTCCACCTTTGCCGTCGCTGCATTCCTCCGACACCGACTCTCTCGCCTTCCTCCAGCAGATCGGTTTGCCGCCTCGATCTCCTCCAGCGAAGCGACCACCGCCACCACCACCACCACCACCACCACCACATCCATCGTTAACGTCACCCCCAACACCATCATGAACACCTCCACACCGTCTTCCTCCGCAGTTAACGCCACCGCCACCACGACCACCACCACCACCGTCCCCAATACCATCACCTCCCCATCGCCTCCCTCCGTCACCATAATCGCGAACACCTCCACATCACCGCCTTCCACCACAGCCACCATCACCCCCAGCATCTCCGCGAGCGCTGACACTCCTGCTAACACCATCACCAGCCGCTCCGCGTCGCGTTCCTTCATCACCACCGCCAACATCATTGACGCCACCACCACCAACACATCCGCGCCACGTTTCTCCACCACCACCAGCACCACCACGACAGGCAACAAGAACCTCACGGCCAACGACCTAAGCCGCACTCATCTACCATCCACGCCGCTCGTGCCGGACACTCAAACCACCACCACCACAACCACCACCACCAGCACCACCAGCACCACCACAACCACCATCAACCCCAAAATCTCAGCAACCACTCACACTTCTGGCAACACCTCCATGTCACCTGCCTTCATCACCACCGCCACCACCACCAACATCATTAACGCCACCACCAACATCACCACCGCCACCACCAACATCATTAACGCCACCACCAACATCATTAACGCCACCACCAACATCACCACCGCCACCACCAACATCATTAACGCCACCACCAACATCACCACCGCCACCACCAACATCATTAACGCCACCACCAACATCACCACCGCCACCACCAACATCATTAACGCCACCACCAACATCACCACCGCCACCACCAACATCATTAACGCCACCACCAACATCACCACCGCCACCACCAACATCATTAACGCCACCACCAACATCACCACCGCCACCACCAACATCACCACCGCCACCACCAACATCATTAACGCCACCACCAACATCACCACCGCCACCACCAACATCATTAACGCCACCACCAACATCACCACCGCCACCACCAACATCACCACCGCCACCACCAACATCACCACCGCCACCACCAACATCATTAACGCCACCACCAACATCACCGACGCATCCACGCTACGTCCCTCCACCATCGCTACCACCAAATCTGACGACGCCCGCAGCGCCAGGCACTGGAAGCGGGCCCTCCCGTCACGTCCCAAACGCCGCCTCCCTCGTCGCCTCCACGAGTTCGAGACGAGGCGACGTCGCGACCTCCGCGGCCCGGCCGACGGCCCCGGGGGGCTCGCGGCCACCTCCAGGGCCTCTCCCGCGGAGGAGTGGGGGGGGGAGGAGGAGGAGGAGGAGGGTGGCCAGGCGGTGGCGGCCTTCGCGGCCCGCGTGTTGCGCTGGAGGCTCCTGAGCGAGGGCTTGAGCACGAGGCTGAGCATCGTAGAGCAGAGGGCCGCGGTGCGCCTCGCGTTCCGCATGTGGAGCGAGGTGGCTCCGCTGGTCTTCAAGGAGGACCTCACGTCCCCGGCCGGAGACGTGGACATCCGCTTGGGGTTTGGCACGGGTGAGGGCTCCTCGCCCATGAGTGACTACCCCCTTGCTCGCGACTACCCCCTTGCTCGCGACTACCCCCTTGCTCGTGACTACCACACCCCCCTCCCGTGACCACTCCCTGACCGTGACCGCCACACCCCCCGTGACCACTCCCTGACCACCCCACCCCCCGTGACCACTCTCTGACCACCACACCCCCCGTGACCACTCCCTGACCACCCCACCCCCCGTGACCATCCCCTGACCACCCCACCCCCCGTGACCACTCCCTGACCACCACACCCCTCGTGACCACTCCCTGACCACCACACCCCCCGTGACCACTCCCTGACCACCACACCCCCGTGACCATCCCCTGACCACCACACACCCCGTGACCACTCCCTGACCACCACACCCCCCGTGACCACTCCCTGACCGTGACCGCCACACCCCCCGTGACCATCCCCTGACCGCCACACACCCCGTGACCACTCCCTGACCACCACACCCCCCGTGACCACTCCCTGACCGTGACCGCCACACCCCCCGTGACCACTCCCTGACCACCACACCCCCCGTGACCACTCCCTGACCGTGACCACCACGCCCCCCGTGACCACTCCCTGACCACCACACCCCCCGTGACCATCCCCTGACCGCCACACCCCCCGTGACCACTCCCTGACCGTGACCACCCCCGCCCCAGGCCGCCACCTGGGCTGCCCGCGCGCCTTCGACGGCTGGGGCCGCGAGGTGGCCCACGCCTGGACTCTGGGGGACATCCACTTTGACGACGACGAGGACTTCAGGGGTCTGGGGGAAGCCCGGGGCATCAGCCTGCTCAAGGTGAGCGACAGAGACACAACGCACGCGCGTGGGGAGCGGTGGTGTAGTGGCTAGCGCTACTGAACCCGGCGACCCGAGTTCGATTCCCGCTCACGGTCGACACCGCTGACAATTGTCTGAATAGGGCCCTGGGCCTCCCCTAGGTCGACTCGGCCTCAAATCGGTGTACCTGGTGCGGTGGTGTGCAGACATCGCCACTGGGGTGACAAAGGCGGCCGGGCGTGGTGTTGGTCACACCGCCCCCTCATGTGCCGTGCCGGGCTACACGGGGGATCTTTGTCTCCATCATAGGGGCTGCTCGCTAGCAGCACTTGCCCCAACAGTGTGCTAAGGGCTACACGGGGGACCTTTGTCTCCATCATAGGTGCTGCTCGCTAGCAGCACTTGCCCCAACAGTGTGCTAAGGGCTACACGGGGGACCTTTGTCTCCATCATAGGTGCTGCTCGCTAGCAGCACTTGCCCCAACAGTGTGCTAAGGGCTACACGGGGGATATTTGTCTCCATCATAGGGGCTGCTCGCTAGCAGCACTTGCCCCAACAGTTTGCCAAGGGCTACACGGGGGATCTTTGTCTCCATCATAGGTGCTGCTCGCTAGCAGCACTTGCCCCAACAGTGTGCCACGGGCTACACGGGGGGATATTTGTCTCCATCATAGGTGCTGCTCGCTAGCAGCACTTGCCCCAACAGTGTGCTAAGGGCTACACGGGGGGATTTTTGTCTCTGTGCGCCAGGTGGCCGTGCACGAGATCGGCCACGTGCTGGGGCTGCGCCACGCGCTGCTGCGGGGCTCCGTGATGCTGCCGGAGTATCCCGGGGGAGGGGGCGGCGACGAGGGGGCCGGGGGGGCCGAGACGGGGGTCTGCGAGCTGCACCCCGAGGACAGACGCGCCGTTCAGGACCTGTACGGTGAGACGCGACATCACCAACATCACCACCAACACCGCCAACATCACCACCAACACCACCTTCACTACCGTCATCATCACTATCACCAGCATCATCATCACTAGCATCATCATCATCATCACAGACGCACCATCCAACACCTCTATGGTGAGACGCGACTTCGCCATCGCCAATACCATCGGCGATACCATCCAAATATACCCAAGTAATTCAGAGGCGTATTATATTTGTAGGTTAGGAGTGGAGTTGGAATGACCGTCCGCACACTCACCCCGTGAGTGTTTGTCTCCGTTGCTAAATGAACGGGAAAAGCAAATTCCGATTCACGAAACTTCGTTCAAACGCTCGCGTTTGCTGCTGCTGCTGCTGCAGCTGCTGTTGAAGAACGCATCCCGTTCGTACATTCAATCCTGCTCCAGTTAGGATTCACACAGCAGCGCCCTTCACGACGCAAACCGGGGGCAAAGCGCACAAGGGGGGAGGGGGCGGGGGGGGCTAGTACGGATCAAGGGGGTTTGGGTGTCGGAACGGCGGTCAGTGGCGGAGGGTGACGGTGGAAGGGATGGAGGGACGGTGGGCTGGGAGTGGAGCCGCCTGATGTTCCAGCGGGGTAGGTGAAGGAGGAATGAGGCGGAGCGTGATGCTGGAATGAGGGCGCACGGTTGGGTGCGACGGGGATGAGAGGCGGCGTGGTAAGGGGCACGCGCGTGAAGTAGTAGCGGTGGGGGAGGGGGGGGGGGTCAATCTTGATTTGAAGCTTTCGTGACTGCAGGAATCCATACTCTTTGGTTGTTTCGGTGAAGTCACGTGGGTAGATAAAGTAAAATAAATCACGACGTTTCGGGCGCAACACAAGCGTGCGTCATCGGGTGACGGATGCTTGAGTTGCGCCCGAAACGTCGTTCATACCTACGTGACTTTACCGAAAGAACCAAAGTGTATGGGAGGGGGTCATCCATTCAGTACGTTCGCATGGAGGGGGAGGGGGGGGTTAACCCAAACGCGTCCGCGTGCGTGTGGGGGGTCTACTGACAATGTACGCATTGGAACCGGGGGGGGGGGGGGGGGTGAAGCCTCGATAATAATTTGTCGGCATTGCCCTTCAAATGAGTTAGATAGTCCGGCGGTGGACTTCTCTGTTTGTGTGAACACGTTAATATTATTAATCCTTGATCGTTTCTGCGTGGATTAAATATCGGCCGTTCTATAGGATTCGGGGGGGGGGGGGGAGGGGGTGATACGTCAGGCTACGTACACAGGTGGTGGTGGTGGGGGGGGGGGTAAAAAGTCCGGCGTGCCTACAGGGAGGGGGAGGGGAGGGGTCACGTTTTGACAGATTTTTGCCCACGTACTAAATGGATGGCCGCTAAGATAGGTTGCTCTGGCTGGGCATGGTTGAGGGTCGGTGAAGGGCGGTAGGGGCTGGGGCCTGGGAAATAGCCGTGCAGCGCAGTGGCGCGCTAACCACTACACTACCGCTCCCCACTACAATACCCCCTGCCCTCCAACTCCCCCTCTCACTAAAACAAATTTTTATTTCGTTTATTTTACCAGGTAAGGCCACGCTGAGCGATGTAGCTCGTTTTCAGAAGCGACCTGCCCGTCACAAATGACAGCTGAGCGAAGTTGGCTTCGAGCAGCCAAACACTCTAAAGGCGTCATGTCGATTCTGGACTTGGAGGAGATAAACCGGAGGAACCGGAGAAAAATCCACAACGACCACGAGGGGGGGTGGGGGGGGGGGGGTGGACAGAGGAGACACCCCAAACTCCAAAGACTGGGACTCTACTTACGAACTTTCAGAGATACGAACAAACCAGTCCGTATGTCCAATTGCCTATTCGGACCGAGAGTCGTAAGTTCAACCGCCACGCGATGGATGGTGGTGGTGGCATCTACATCTGCACAACGTGAAGAATCAGTGGCATCTACATCTGCAGGGCCTGAAGACACCAGTGGCATCTACATCTGCAGAACGTGAAGAACCAGTGGCATCTACATCTTCAGAACGTGAAGAACCAGTGGCATCTACATCTGCAGAACGTGAAGAACCAGTGGCATCTACATCTGCAGGGCGTGAAGACACCAGTGGCATCTACATCTGCAGAACGTGAAGTACCAGTGGCATCTACATCTGCAGAACGTGAAGAACCAGTGGCATCTACATCTGCAGAACGTGAAGAACCAGTGGCATCTACATCTGCAGAACGTGAAGAACCAATAGCATCTACATCTGCAGAACGTGAAGTACCAGTGGCATCTACATCTACAGAAGATTGTACAACTTTTAAAGCCATTCCCCCGTGTTTAGTGTACACGCCCGCAGTACACCACGAATCGACAGGAGTAAAGTTGAACTTACGAACAAATCGACTTACGAACAAGACCCTCTGCCACCTAGCTCGTTCGTAAGCGCAGGAGTCAGAGGTCGGGATCGAGCAGCAGCTACCTCCCGCATACCAGGCGAGGTAGTTAACATCTCGTGAACTCCCTCCCCGCCCCCCACCCCTTAGGCGTGTGCGAGGGGCGCTTTGACGTGGTACTGGACTGGGTTCGCCGGCCGCCCGACAACCCCACGGGCCCCCCGCGCTACAACACCTTCTTCCTGCGCTCCGCCTGGTACTGGCTCTACGAGAACCACAGCCAGCGCACCCGCTACGGAGACCCGCGGCCCATCGCAGCCGGCTGGCGGGGGCTACCCCCGGGCGGTGTGGACGCCTTCGTGCACGCGTGGACCTGGAGCCAGGACTGCGCCTACTTCTTCAGAGGTTCCACCACCACCACCACCACCGTCAACCACCGTCATCACTACCACCACCACCACCACCGTCAACCACCGTCATCACCACCATCACCGGGGTTTCGAGTCGTCGGCGTGCGCGTGTGTCTGTGCCTGTGTCTCGCTAACAGCACTTGCCCCTTAGATTCCCCGTGTAGCCTTAACACGCAGTAAACAGCACTTGCCCCTTACTGCGTGTTAAGGCTGCACGGGGAATCTTCGTCTTTGTGTCTGTCCGTGTCTGGCTTCAGGACCGGCTCAGGTAATCATGAATCCATACTCTTTGGTTCTATTGGGTAAAGTCACGTAGGTGAAAATAAAATAACAAAAAAATCACGACGTTTCGACCACAACACAAGCGGCCTTCATCAGGTGAAGGGACGAGACTGTCTGGAGGACAGCGCTGGAGTGGAAGAAGCCACGCTTAGATCACGAATTAATCATGAATCGTCGCTGATGTTGACCGTGAGCGGGAATCGAACTCGGACGAACACGCGCACACGGGCGCGCATTGGTATTTCAGACCGTTACGTGCGGCCACTATGCACTGAATGGAGAGTCATCATCAGAACGTATTATGGTTTGGAATGAAAAGGGCGCACGAGTGTGCGCTGTAATATGCTCCTCGACGGAGGCTCGCTGCGATTAATGAGTTGATAGGAATCCTGACGTTTGTGCTCTCGCCAAGGACGCGGATTGTGATTTCTTGATACAGATACAGATGGTGGGGGGGGGTTTGAGACTGCCGGAACAAGGTGTATAGACGGACGCACGCGCATACGGCACTCGTACGTGAAGGCAAAGACCTCCCGTATAGCCTCAGCCGACTGTTGGGTAAAGTGCTGGTGGCGAGCACCGCATTTCGGATGCCGGCACCCGGGGGTGCGTGGCTAACACCGCGCCCGGCCGCCTTTGTCTCCCTAGTGTTTACACACCGCTACACCAGGCGCTCATTGGAGGCCGAGCCAACCTCGTGGAGGCCCAGGGACGGTTCAGATAATCCTCACTGGTGGTTGGCCGTGAGCGGGAATCGAACTCGGGTCCACCGGCTTCGTAGCGCAGCAGCCCGCTCACTGCTACGATACCCGCCCTCCACAATACAAAGACAAAGATCCCCCGTATAGCCTTAAAAGATTGTTGGGGCAAGTGCTGTTAGCGAACACCTATAAAGGCCGGCACGGCACACGAGGGGGTGGGTGGCCAGCACCACGCCCGGTCGCCTTTGTCTCCCAAGCGGCGATGTTTACACACCGCACCAGGTACTCGTTTGAGGCTGAGTCGACCTAGGGGAGGCCTAGGACCGGTTCAGATAATCGTCACCGGTGTTGGCCTTGGGCGGGAATCGAACTCGGGTGGCCAGGTTCGTAGCGCAACGCGCTAACCGCTTCACTACCGCTCTCCACACAGACACACACACAGACACACACACACCGATACAGACAGACACACACACACCGATACAGACAGACATTCAGGCACACACCGATACAGACAGACACACAGGCACACACCGATGCAGACAGACACACAGGCACACACACAGACACACACACCGATACAGACACACACACACAGATGCACACACCGATACAGACAGACACACAGGCACACACACAGACACACAGGCACACACGCAGACACACAGGCACACACCGATACAGACAGACACACAGGCACACACCGATACAGACAGACACACAGGCACACACCGATATAGACAGACACACAGGCACACACACAGACACACAGGCACACACCGATACAGACAGACACACACACACACACCGATACAGACACACACACACAGATACACACACCGATACAGACAGACACACAGGCACACACCGATACAGACAGACACACAGGCACACACCGATACATACAGACACACAGGCACACACCGATACAGACAGACACACAGGCACAGAGGTTAAACACTCTTACACACGTGCAACGACATTAGAACCAACGTACTTTTGACGGACGCTCGTATTCACGCAAACAAATATATAAGCACACGTTTGTTTGCTCCAAGTATGATTTAACAGACTGTTGGTGGCAAGGGACCGGTGAGCGAGAAACGATTTAGTCCGACGGCACACTAGGGGGCTGTGTGGCCAGCACCACGCCCGGCCGCCTTTGTCTTCCACCATTGTGACGTTGAAGATCATAGCGATGCTGCTGCTGATGATGATGAGAATAATCTTGATGATGATGATGCTGATGACGAGGATGTATCCCTGTGTCGCTACCGCACGCGGTGGTGGAGTGGCTGGCGCTATGAAAAGCGGCGACCCGAGTTCGATTCCCGCTAACGGCCAACACCGGTGACGAATATCTGAACCGGTCCTGGGCCTCCCCTAGGTCGACTCAGCCTCAAATTAGTACCTGGTGCGGTGCGTAAAAACATCGCCACGAGGGAGACAAAGGCGGCCGTGTGTGGTGCTGGCCACCCACCCCCTCGTGTGCCGTTCCCGCCCTTCATATGTGCTACTCAGGAACAGCACTTGTCCCAACAGTCTGTTAAAGGCTATACGGGTGATCTTTGTCTTTGTAGGGTCCTACTACTGGCGATACGACAGCGAGCGAGACCAAGCCTTCGTGCGAGACCCCCAAGGGGTCGCCTACCCCCGGCTCATCTCAGAGGGCTTCCCGGGGGTCCCGTATCCCCTCGACACGGCCTACTTCGACCGCAGGGACCAGAACATTTACTTTTTCAAAGGGAGTGGAGTGAGTTTCTTCAAATCTCCCCCACACACCAACCCCCTGCACTCCCCGCAGTGCCGGATGATCCTAGTAGCACAAGTAGCTACAGATGTAGTAGCTACTACTACATGTGTAGTAGCTACGGGCCCCGTACTTTTAATGGGACCCGCGCTAAATGCTTTCAAGCTATCAATTCCGGTTCAGAGATTTTGCACTTGCTCTATTACTAAAGTACTATACCGCCTTCAACTTGTATGAACGACTGGGTGTTTAAGGTTCGCGATTTGTCGTATTATCTGGCTGTATAGCAAATGAAAAAATACAATGACTTTACTATGCAAGTAAAAAAAGTTGTGTTTTAATATTTACGTATTTTATTTAAATTCATGGCCCCTTTATAACATCATGCTACAGGCCCCCCGCACTAGCTTAGTCCGGCATTGACTCCCCGTCGCCGTCCCCCATTCCTAAGGGGTGCATTGGTACAGCCCACCCGGTCCCTCGAACGGCTACCACGAAGTTGGTCGCTATCGAGTGTGCAGTCGAGGGTGCGAGATGTTAACTACCTCGCCTGGTATACAGGAAGTCGTGGGTTCGATCCCGACCCTGACGCCTGCTGTATATTTGGAGTTTGCGTGCCTCTCTCTATCCCTGTGGTGAGATGTTAACTACCTCGAATGGTATACAGGAGGTCGTGGGTTCGATCCCGACCCTGACGCCTGCTGCTGTATATTTGGAGTCTGCGTGTCTCTCTCTCATCATCACGGTGGCTGGGAGATGTAAACTACCTCGCCTGGTCTACAGGAGGTCGTGGGTTCGATCCCGACCCTGACGCCTGCTGTATATTTGGAGTTTGCGTGTCTCTCTCTCTCCCTGTGGTGAGATGTTAACTACCTCGAATGGTATACAGGAGGTCGTGGGTTCGATCCCGACCCTGACGCCTGCTGTATATTTGGAGTTTGCGTGTCTCTCTCTCTCTCATCATCATCACGGTGGCTAGGAGATGTTAACTACCTCGCCTGGTATACAGGAAGCCGTTAGTTCGATCCCGATCCTGACGCCTGCTGCTGTACATTTGGAGTTTGCGTGTCTCTCTCCCCGTGGTCGCGTGGATTTTTCTCCGGGTCCTCCAGTTTTCCCCTCCACATTTGGAATCAACATCATCACGTTTGGAGTATTTGGCTGATTTAAATGTCCACATGATGATAAGCCACTTCGTTGCACCATCATTTGTGGCCAGGTAACTTCTGAAAAATAGCACACCTGATAAAACATTAAATTATTAAAATGTTTTATCCAGGGACTCCTCTACTTACGAACATTCGACCTACAGAGATATAAGCCACTTCGTTGGGCTTGTGACTTGTGGTGGGGCCATTTGTGGCCTGGAAAAAAAAAACAGCGATGTAGCTCAGTAGGCATTATTTCCTCGTTTTCACATTATTGGTTACCTAGGAACTCTAGCGGTAGTGCCTTACGCCGATAATCTCGGATCCTAAGCACAACCCGAGCTAACAAACGGCGTTTTTAGGCGTAATATCGAGAAAGCAGACGAAACAATCAGATCGTCTGGATCCCCTCGTAACCCACCCAATCGGCCTCACCGCCCTTACTTCTTCTCAACCTCCTCACCTCTTGTGTATAACATTTGGTGTTTTTACATCTGCACACAACTGTATTATTAGCAGAAAGGGTAAAAGCCTATTGCTATATGTTGATACTGGCAAGGGAGGTTCCATGATGGAGCTGCTCGCCCCGAGCTCTCAATGCCCTGGCCGTGGCATTGTCTTTGTGCTGTTCGCCTTTTGCCGTGCTCTGGTGTAACGCTTTGAGACTTGGCTGATAGTCTCAAAAGAAGGCTGTCTCTGGTGTGGACCGATCAGTTTCAAAGACGATGTATATTTTAACACATTCTCCTGCGGAGGGAGCTGGTAGGAACGTTGGGTTGCTCGGTCAATGGCCAGGGTCAACGGCGGCACCACGTGGTGTATTCCGCAAATATGCCCGACTGTGAGGGCGGGCACAAGCCGGCGTGAGTAGGTTAAACGTTGAGTTTTATAAGGGCACCACGGGGTGACCAGCCCCTCCCCACCCAGCCCCACCCCTCCCTACCCAGCCCCTCCCCACCCTCCCCTCCCCACCCAGCCCCTGCCTCCCCACCCAGCCCCTCGCCACCCTCCCCTCCCCACCTAGCACCACCCTCCCCACCCAGCCCTTCCCCACCCTCCCCACCCTCCCCACCCAGCCCTTCCCCACCCTCCCCACCCAGCCCCTCCCCACCCTCCCCTCCCCACCCAGGCCCACCCCTCCCATTTTTGGATGCACGACGGACGGACACAATAATCCCCTGTGGACTGGTGTAACCAGGAGGTTCCTACCAGTATGATCAGAGCATGTCTTTTGTTTGCATGGTCACCACAAGCACGTTGTCGTTCATGCAGACATGATTCCTTGCAAAAGGATTCTGTTTGTTGTTTTAATATCTTAACAGCTTGATTTGAAGCTTTCGTGACCGCAGGAATCCATACTCACGTGGTTAGAAATAACTTCGTGACTTTACCGAAATAACCAAAGAGTATCTTAACAGCTGTTTTATTGCCAGGAAGGGTTAAACCTCCTGTCATATCTCTTGTATATATATACTATGTTGAACTTCTTTTGTACCGTACGTAGCCAACCGTGGACCCCCCCCCCCCACGTCCCCCCACTTCTCTCCCCACCCCCCCACACCCCTCGCCTCTCACCGTCCCCAGGTGACGGTGTTCAACGTGCGCTTGGGCCGCGTGTCCCCGGGCCCTCCGCGGCCCCTGCGCTCCGTGTTCCCCGCCCTGCTGGGCCCAGGCGGGGACCACCCCGGTGGAGGCCTCGACGCGGCCTACTACTCGTACGCCCACGGCGCCCTCTTCCTCCTCAAGGGCCCTCACGCGTGGAGGGTCCTCACGGACGCCGAGAGGCGCGCCTGGGCCTCCGGCGGGCCCCAGGGGTCGACGATAACGATGAAGGAGGCGATGAAGGAGGCGATGAAGATGAAGGTGACGCTGCCGCCCAGGAATGCACTGCTGCCCAGGCAACCGACGGCGCAGATCTGGCGGGATATCTGTGATGCCGGTGCGGCCGGGGCTTAGCGGAATGGGTGGACGAGGTGGTGGTGGAGGTGGCAGAGGAGGAGGAAGACGTGGAGGATGTGGAAGAGGAGGAGGTGGAAGAGGAGGATGTAGAAATGGTGTTGAAGAGGTGGTGGAGAGACAAGGGAAACAAATATATGGAAGACTTATGTGAGAGATGATGATGATGATGATGGAGGAGGAGGAGTGTGAAGGGGCAGACGATTTAGAGGAGATGGAGGTAGAGCGATGAATTGAGGGAATGCAAGGTGGAAGTTAAAGATGGAAGAGACATGTGGAGGATGAAGAGGAGGTGCAGGGGGATAGAAGAGGGGGAGAGGAGAGATGAAGCCGGAGGGGAGAGCGTGGGTGGTTGAGAAGAGGTGCTGGAAGTAGCTGAGGGACAGAAGGGATATTGACGAGGCGGAAAAGGAGATGGGGTGGAGGTGGAAATGGACGGCGAAGGAGGTGAATGAGGTGGAGGAGGTTGAGAAAGGAAGTGAAGTGGACAGGTTACAGAGATGTCGGAGGTGGAGGAAGAGGTGGAGGCGTGGACGGTTGGTGTGGAGGAGGAGCAGGAGACAGTGGAGGAGATGGAGGTGAGATTATAGGAGGTGGAGCATGGCGATATCAAGGCGGATGAGGTGGTGCAGGACAGTCTGGCAGAGGAGGTGGAGTGATGAGTCGTGGGCCTTTAGTAGACGGAGGTCAGGAGGTCGACGGAGGAGATGAAGTAAATGAATGAGGTGAGAGAAAGAGAAGAGCGATCGATGTTAATCAAATTAATGCGTCTCATGAGACATGGAGACAAGTTTGGCAACTAGAATATTATAATAATTAACTTTATTTATTTACGATGACGATGACAATTTTGTCAGATGTTCTATTTTTTTAGTATTTTACAATGAAATTGCCTTCGCGCTCAAAGTCTCAACCCAGCGTTGGACAGTGGTGGCAATTCCACATTGCTATTTCAAGGACTAGTTCACACAAAGGACAACAGCCACTGTTGGGTTTCAACGTTGTGGTTCTATTAATTATGTCGAGTTCGGAGAGATTGAGATTAAGAGGACTAAGCGACTGGTGGCCACGCCCCTCTATAAACCCCGCCCACTATTACATAGCCACACCCACTCAACAACTAGCTGAGCCCATTTCGGTGGCTCGGAGATGTTAATCACCTTGCCTGGTATGCAGGAGGTCGCGGGTTCGATCCCAATCCTGACTATGCCAGTACATTTGGGGCCGTCCATAAATGACGTCACGCGATTTTGGACGATTTTTGACCCCCCCCCCTTCGTCACACGGCGTCACAAAAAGTCAGACCCCCCCCCCTCAAATATGACGTCACAAAGCTCTGCCCCCCCGCCCCCCAAAACAATAAAACATGCTTCAAATCGCTTTAAACTATTGTCATTGTAGCGCGTATTTAATGTGGCGCTGCACTCTGATGTTGTAGGCGAAAACATTTATTAAAAAGTCTATTTAACTAAGTAGAACGTGTTGTCTGTATTTATTTAAAGTTGCGCATTTTGATGTGACGTCACACTTCTCAACCTCCCCCCCCAGGTGCGTGACGTCATTTATGGACGGCCCCTTTGAAGTCTGCGGTGTCTCTCCCCGTGGTCGTGTGGATTTTTCTCCGGGTCCTCCGGTTTTTCCCTCCGCATTTATAATCAACATCGTCACGCGTTGAGAATATTTGGCCGCTGTACATTTCCACGCGATGACAAGCAACTTCGGTGCGCTATCATTTGTGGCCACGTCACTTCTGAAAAAAACAGCTACAAAAATGTTTTACTGGTGGGAACCTCCTGGTTACACCAGCAGCCCACAGGGGATTATTGTGTCCGTCCGTCCGTCGTGCATCCAAAAATTGGAGGGGCTGGGTGGAGAGGGGAGGGGTGGTGCTGGGTGGGGAGGGGCTGGTCACCCCGTGGTGCCCTTATAAAACTCAACGTTTAACCTACTCACGCCGGCTTGTGCCCGCCCTCACAGTCGGGCATATTGTGCGGAATACACCACGTGGTGGTGCCGCCGTTGACCCTGGCCATTGACCGAGCAACCCAACGTTCCTACCAGCTCCCTCCGCAGGAGAATGTGTTACAGGTACTCCTCTACTTACGAACATTCTCCATACGAACTTTCAGAGATACGAACAAACCCGTCCGTATGTCCAGTCGCCCGTTCGGACAGAGAGTCGTAAGTTCAACCGCCGCGCAATAAACGGCGGTCGTGGCATCTACGTCTGCATGAACGTGAAAAACCAGTGGGGCATCTGTATCTACAGGAGATTATACAACTTGTAAAGCCATTCCCCAGTGCTTGGTGTCCATGCCCGTAGCACAACGTGTTTGGAATCGATAGGAGTAAAGTTGGACTTAGGAACAGACCTCCGGAACCGAACTCCCTGCAGTTTCATATCCACTCCATTATTAATATAGCCCCGCCTTACTACCCATGTGGCCCCGCCCACTATCCGGGTGGCCCCCGCCCACTATCAGTGTGTCTCCGCCCGCTATCCTGGTGGCCCCGCCCACTGTCCCCGGTAGCCCCGCCCAATATCCCAGTGGCCCCGCCCATTCCCCAGGTGGGCCCGCCCACTACCCAGGTGGGTCCCGCTCTTTGCCCGGCATCTTCACGTTTCGGAGTAGAAATATTTTGAACTCGGCGGCAAAGATCTAGATCTTTACAAAACCTTCCGAGGAGAGGGGGTGGGGATGGCCCATTATAAACCCACCGGGACCGTCCAGGACAGTCTGTGCAAGTTGACCATGATGATGATCTTAGCTTTGATCTCTGAGCTGGGAGTTGAACTCGCACGCTTTCTGCTTGTGGGTCGAGTGCACTCATTGCGGTGGCACCAAAGCCGATGTTTGCATTGCACGGAATTAATACCACGTGTTCATTCGACTCGGGGTGGGGGTGGGGGGGGTGTATTTAGAGGTATTTATTAGATAGCGCGTCTTACTTTCACGAAAGGGGCACGGTTTACTGACGTGTACGTTAAAAATAAATCAATATTGATATTTTACAGCACGTGTCAAATACACTGCTGGATGATGGGCTGTCCGCGCTGTGTCAAGTCACGCGGGAGGGGTGGAGGGGGGGGGGGGTTATTTGACCATACTTCACCACGCTGGTCAATCAGTCAGGTTTGGGGAAGGTGTTGGGCAGGGGAGGAGAGGTGACCCGGTTTCAGGTTCAGTTTCACTTATTAGGTATAACCCTATAATCTTAGCTCTTTCGGTAAAGTCACGTTGAAGGGAAACAATAAAATAATAATATATATATAAAACAATAAAAATTATCACGACGTTTCGACCATAACACAAACGGTCGTCATCAGGTGTGTCGGTTTGCATTGATGTAGACCGACACACCTGATGACGACCGTTTGTGTTATGGTCGAAACGTCGTGAGAATTTTTATTGTTTTATATATTTTTTATTATTTTATTGTTTCCCTTCAACGTGACTTTACCGAAAAAGCTAAGAATATGTATTACTGCAGTCACGAATGCGGCTGCACCTCATTGGGCTGATGTCTGGTGGGGATGAGTCTGACTAAAGGTGGGAAGCTGACAATCTGGTGACCTGGTGTAGCCAGAACAACTTAGAGCTAAATGCTCTAAAGACAATTGAGATGGTTGTGGACTTCAGGAAGAATACAGCCCCACTCACCCCCATAACCCTGTTAGACTCTCCAGTCAAAATTGTAGAGTCCTTCCGCTTCCTGGGCACTATTCTCTCCCGGGACCTCAAGTGGGAACTGAACATCAGCTCCCTCACCAAGAAAGCTCAACAGAGGATGTACTTTCTAAGGCAGCTGAAGAAATTCAACCTGCCAAAGACAATGATGGTGCAATTCTATACAGCTATCATTGAATCCATCCTCACCTCCTCCATAACCGTCTGGTACACTGCTGCCACTGCTAAGGACAAGAGCAGACTGCAGCGTATCATCCACACTGCTGAGAAGGTAATTGCCTGCAAGCCTGTATGCTTTAACTTAGCTATTTCAATGCTAAATTCTATGCTAATTCCTTTGTCAAGGGGTGCCTCTGCGGATGTGTATGCTTTAACTTTTAACATAGCTATTTCTGTGACCAGTCACAAGCTAATCATTCAGCCATTTCAATGCTAAATTATATGCTAATTCCTTTGTCAAGGCGCTTTGTTTCCTCTCACACAGCTTAAAGGTCGTGATCTGAACGTGGCTCTTTCACTCCAGCGCTGTCCTACCAGACAGTCTCGTCCCTTCACCTGATGAAGGCCGCTTGTGTTGTGGCCGAAACGTCGTGAGAATATTATTGTGTTATTTTATTTTATCAATTTATTATTTTATTCTCATTCTACGTGACTTTACTGAAAGAACCAAAGAAGATGAATCTACCAACTCTCGAGGACCTGCACACGACAAGGTCCATGAGGCGAGCGAGGAAGATTATGGCCGATTTCTCCCACCCTGGACACTCTCTGTTTCAGCTACTCCCCTCCGGCAGAAGGCGTCGGTCCATCAGGACCAAAACCTCACGCCATAAAAACAGTTTCTTCCCATCTGCTGCTGGCCTGTTAAACAAGGCCAAGGGCTTACACTGTTTTTAACATTTTATCTACATAATGACACCTTGCCGATATTAACTATGTTAACCTATTTGTATTTTTTATTTTAAAATTATATCTTAAAGCTATTTTATATTCGATATTTATTAAATTTTATATACTTCAGCCCCTTGGTGTTAGACTTTTAACCCTTATTATAGTAAGACTTGTTTAAAACTTATTTAAGATTTTAGATTCCTATATGTTGAATGTATGCACCATCCTGCCAAAGTAAATTCCGTGTCGGTGTGAACTTTCATGGCGAATAAAACCCTTTCTGATTCTGATTCTCTTGACTCGGGTGCAACCGCAACACAACAAAAAAAACATGAACAAGAAAACATCTTAAAGTTACCGCACGCAACATGAAAAAAGTCCTGGAAAACACAGCAAAGTCTTCCAGAACAAAAACACCGCATTTCAACGGTGCCTGCAAACATCCCAGTGGGATGCAAGTCTAACATTATCAACCATAAGACAATATCACTCACCACCGATGTCAGCCGTGGCCGGGATTCGAACTCGGGTGGGCCGCTTTGGTATCACGCAGTGAGCAGCGCACCACGTGGACTTGCAATCCAGAGGTCGCCGGATCGATTGTATCTCCCGGAGCGGCAGTGGAAGAAAATAAATGGCCAGCGAGGAGGATGAATGGATAAACACGTGTGGTGGGGTACAGTGTGTGTACCTCCCCCAAGTGTCCAAGAGGTTTGGCCAGCAATGGAAGAGTAGGCCAAATTCACGTATTGCGGTACACTGCATTGGTGCGCAGTTATATTCGCAATAATATTTTTTTATTTTTCTCCTCCCCCCCCCCCCCCAATTCGCAATCCCCGGTCGGAAAACCTCACGGGGTTGGTGGTGATGGTGGTGGTGCGTCAAAGTCACGTAGGTACAAAAAAACTAGATCAACGACGTTTCGATCGCAACACAAGCAATCGTCATCAGGTGGGACAACCACAGCAAGAAAAAAAAACTGCTGAAGAACCAGTTCTTTTTTCCCCACCTGATGACGATTGCTTGTGTTGCGATCGAAATCGTCGTGATCTATTATTATTCTTCTTCTACCTACGTGACTTTAGCGAAAGAACCATAGAGTATTGATCCTTGCAGTCACGAAACCTTCAGATCAAGATCGCGTCAAAATCAGTTCGTCGGTGATGCTCGAAGCGGTCGCAATACGGAGAAGTTTAACCCGAGCGGCTGACCACGGGAAACTTCCGCGGTCTGTTGCCGTGGAGCGGCAGCGCCCCGGCCTGACTACGATGGGGCTCGGCTCCCGTGGTCCCAAGGGCGACGTTTGCCCCAGACGTGATCGCGACTCTTCCTCGATTCGTGTTTTTTTTTTCACTTTTTCCCGGTGGCATCAAAAGATCGCGGCGACCCGTGGTGGCGTCACCACGAGTCGCACGTTCCAGCGGCGAAGCGGTCCGCCTGAATCTGAGCGCAGCTTGCGATGGAGAGTTCCAGCGGCTCACGGCGATCATCGTGAGGCCCCTGATTCAATGAGGAGCCCGCTGTGTTTGTCACGCTGCACGCACCGGTGTGGTACCGCCAATACGTCCAAACGTCCTCCACCGCAAGGCGGCCTTTCCT